TAATGCTCATGATTTAACCCTTTCGACAGTTATCATAAAATATATGTGTTCTTTGTTTTACATTTCAGTTTTTTTAGAGTATCAGAGTTTAATAGAGACCCGGTTTTGCCAGGCGTTTTTTTAAAAACTGTGAATGCAATTCTACTGATTATTAAAAATAAATCTTTCTATCTTTAATATTAAATATATTTTCCCTCAATGTGACAAACATAGCATACCATTTTGTTAATTAACATTTTTAGCGTAAAAACGCCAGAACTATTTCTAAAAGTATCAGGAACTATAGAACTCAGCTGCATGCGAAATGAACTCACATTTGTTTTCGATTTACTGCAAAATGATATGCAACGGGATGTTGGCAGACCATTTTGTTGACATTTTTCGCGAAAAACGCCAGAAATATTTCTAAAAAATATCAAGAACTATAGAACTCAGCTGCATGCGAAAAGAACTCACATTTGTTTTCGATTTACTGCAAAATGATATGCAACGGGATGTTGGCAGACCATTTTGTTGACATTTTTCGCGAAAAACGCCAGAGCTATTTCTAAAAAATATCAGGACCTATAGAACTCAGCTGCATGCGAAAAGAACTCACATTTGTTTTCGATTTACTGCAAAATGATATGCAACGGGATGTTGGCAGACCATTTTGTTGACATTTTTCGCGAAAAACGCCAGAAATATTTCTAAAAAGTATCAAGAACTATAGAACTCAGCTGCATGCGAAAAGAACTCACGTGTGTTTTCGATTTACTGCAAAATGATATGCAACGGGATGTTGGCAGACCATTTTATTAATTGACATTTTTCGCGAAAAACGCCAGAAATATTTCTAAAAAGTATCAAGAACTATAGAACTCATCTACGTGCGAAAAGAACTCGCATTTGTTTTCGATTTGCTGCGAAATGTTATGTTACGGCAAGTTAGCAGACCATTTTGTTAAAAGTAATTTTTCACGTAAAAACTCCAGAACTATTTCTAAAAAGGATCAGGAACGTCAACCGAAGACTTGTAAAACAATCACAAAGCGTGTCTTCGCTTCTTCTTGTTAATCCTATGTCACATTGTCCACCAGTAGTAAACGAATATGAAACTGTTAAGGAAGTAACAAAACTTTACATAGAGGATACATTGGACTCGAGGGTTAGTTCATTTGATAATTTACAAGTTTTATGAGCGTTTTCGATTGAAAGTCTAACCATACGCCGTCCGCAGACTGCCAACATTCATATTTCACTGCACTTTTACTTTCTATTGTTCGCTTCTAATGCTTCAAATGAGCTGGCATTAACATATTTCATATCACAAATGTGAGTGCGAACGAAACGAAATTGAAATCATAAAATGTAGTTGTACCAAAGTCGACGTCATTTGTTTTGTAAAAAGTTCCCCAAAAATTCTGAAGGGCCTTGCACTAACATGAAGCTGAAACTAGCAGAAACACGAAACAGACGGCAAACGTATTTCTGGTAACTGTTTTGGTTTTTCTTATTTATTTAAAAGTAAAGTAATCGCTATTTTCAAGTATCATCATCATCAGCCTATTAATGTCCCCACTGCTGGGGCACAGGCCTTCCCTATGGATGGAATAGGGAGATTGGGCCATGACCCACCACGCGGGCCCAGTACGGATTGGTGGGTGCTAACGACTGCAAATGCAGCCGGGACCAACGGCTTAACGTGCCTTCCGAAGCACGGAGGAGCTCGAGATAGTAAATTTTTGGTCACCCATCCAATGACCGACCACTGCGAAAGTTGCTTAACTTCAACGATCGCAGCCGAACGCGCTAGCCACCTGCGCCATCGAGCTCCTCTCTCTCTCTCCTCAAGTATACTAAGGTGAAATTTACCTACCTAAGCTAAATTCAAAGAAAGATTTTTGATACAATCAATCTGATTAATGATCACCACTAGTGAGCAGACCTTTTATCAGCTCTGTTTCCTTGCGTAGATAAAGCTTATACAAGTGCTTCCACTAAAAAAGAGCCGAGTCTTTTTTAGTGGAAATTAAAAAAATATTTTCCTCAATTCCGTGCAGACATTTTCTGCTCGTTCTCAGTGGAAGGCCATTCATTAAACAAACGATCGAAGGTTGAGCGTACGCGCCTGTTTTCTCTAGTCTGTCAAGTGTTATCATTCGTTGGCTACCAGATTTCACATCGCCCTTTCATAGTCTCATACAAAAGCAAAATTTCCAAACTCTCAGCTTGTACAGTTCTGCACTTGTCCTAACTTTTTTTTATGAAAAAAGGGTGGCAAAGTTGCATATGGCCCTCCTGGTGGTAAGCGGCAGCATAGCCTATAGACGCTTGCGATATCAAAAATATCACTCGCCCCGTTGCCTACTCTGACCCCGTGGAGCCCTAGAACCTTAAACACCGACAGAAACACAACACCACCAAGAGGTAGTGTTATTTTACTGTCTTCTGTAAGGTGGAGGTTACTTCCCTTAGGCGAGCGCTAAAATTCGTACGGAAAATCCGTTATGCCCTAGGTACCTCTCTAGACTTCCTGGGGGCCAATCGCCTAACGGAAATGCTTTGGGAAACGCTAACGCTTACGATTTTGTATTGTTATTTCTAGCCGCCTGAGGTTTTCGAATACCTCACGCTCATTTTTTTTAATATTGTTATTACCAATGCAAAAGAAAAAGAAAGAGCGCGAGGCATTTGAATACCTCAGGCGGCTAGAAATAACAAAATAAAATCGTAAGCGTTAGCGTTTTCCAAAGCATTTCCGTTAGGCGATTGGCCCCCTGTACTGCATGTGTATAAAAGTACATGCGAAACGTGCTGGCGATAGGGTAAAATGCTAACTGATGCTCTTTTTGTTCACAAATGTAAACTCTTGCACAACGGCAAGATCGTAATCAGCGTTGCCAGATGTACCGATTTTGGCGGGACCGGCTCAATCCCGCTTTTCGGGAATAACTCGGATCTAGTACCCGTTGGACCCTCAAGATTCGACCCAAAAGCAAAAAGTGCTCATTGGACCTCATTTTTGGTGTCCATTGGACCTTCTTAAAAAGTTTTATATTCAATGTGCCCATTGGACCTCCTTTTTGGTGTCCATTGGACTATCTTAAAAAAAATATATCGACCGTGCGTGCATTGTACTGAGAAAGCGCGGGCGGGTGGCACAGACAAGTGTGGACTGGCCACCTGCCCGGTGCGTAAGGAAATAAACATTCAATAACTTTTGATTTTATATGTTTTTTTATTATGTTCCGCTTTCTACGAAAGAATCCCGCTTTTTTCACTCAAAATGTTCCTAATCCCGACTTGGCATAAAGAAAATCTGGCAACGCTGATCGTAATTTATAGGTAAATCGCTCGTCGCGCCGGGCGGTCGGTCGCGCGTACCCGTGGACTGCCCGTTACTGCTTTAACGGGCTGTCCACGGGTACCGCATACGGTGTGGTGTACTCCAAGGCAACCTATGCCAACATTTCTTTCTTCTGCATGAAAATTGATTTTGGTATGTAGATAAAGGACATAGGATGTTCCCATGTCCATGCTCCCCTTTATCTACATCACATTTACATTTTTTGAGTGGGTTAATTTTAAAATCTTGAAGTTTGTGAAACTTTCTATGAGAAACCATATTTTATTTATGTAATTAATGTTACAGACACTCAATAGTGGAAAAAAAATGTACACTTGTTAAATACTGTACTTATTTTCCTGCAAGTGCAGTGTGTGTACTTTTTTTAGAACACCAGATATGTTCACATTTGGCCTCCTTTCTTTAATTTAGAGGTGAAATGTCCAAATTTACCGTATCTTGACAGTAAAATATAAATAAAATTTATTTATTTTGTTATTTTTTTATAAGTGATAGTAAGTTTTTGAGATGAACTATTAATCTCGAATACTTACTTTTATAAAAAAAATAGCTAATGTATTCAAGCAAACTTTTTCTTTGTCGTGCCAATACTTACTATCAGAATCTTTGGCGGGCCAATTTTCTGCTTAAGCCACTCACAACCAGGTTAGGCAGCGGGGTGAGCCTTGCGGGAACATGTGAAAAAATGGTACTTTTTGATTTTTGTTTGTGTGTGTCACAGGCCAGTTTTTACTACTCGAGGACTGGTGATGTCCCGCCGGCCGTAGTTTGCCCATGATATAAAGCATAATTCATTATCATGAACCATAACTGTTCTCATTATACTAAGCATTACTGAAATTTTAAAATGAGACTAATAGAACTATAGAAATAAGGGAATTTTACTAGATTGCCCTTTTGATACTGAGGGGCAATTTTACCCTGATTAAACTAACTTGGATAACTATTTTGCATGTTTTCCAGTAAGCTGTGAAAGAAAAGTTTATAAAAAAAATTAAGCTAGTCTTAGCTAGGTATTGTCTAATACCTAGTCTTTTTGTTAATTCCAGTAGAAAAAGTCTATCAACAAATATATATGAATTTTTATTCTAAGACATTATTAGATGTAATATTATATAGCATTGGATTAGATAATTCCTAATGACCATAAATTTATAACAACTAGTTTAAGGCTTAAGTAATTTATTAGCTATGATAGAAAAAAAAATGTAAAAAAATCTTAAATAGAAAAATTGCTTTCTTGTAATGAATAAAAATGTATAGGTATATGCCTCAAATTCTATAGAGTAGACATTTGTGACTAATATGGAAAAATACAAATCAACTTATTGCAATCTCATTAGAAAGGAATGCACCCATATTGAACTACTAAAGTTTGATTTACAAAACAAGAAATTATGGTTGATTAGATAAGCATAATAAACAAAGATAGTACCTATGCCGATGAAAAATAAAGCTGCAAGATTACAAAATACTTCTTTAGAAACAATGCGATTGTCCGTCATGGTTCTCTAAACATTTTCAGAACTTTTAAACTTGAGAATTATGATCGCCAAAGTTGTAAATACCACCATAATTTCACAAGACTTTGTAAGCAGCCGAATGCAATTTTTTAAGTGCAGCACTACAAAATATTTTCTGAGACACTTACCAGCAGTTCAGTTTCTTTATCGCCGACAAATCCGATTGTTTCGAACGGGCAATCACCATCTCTTCAGTCAAGCGAGCCATTTTCACTGCACTAACACTTTGTTTATTAAATTCACGAAGTAAGTAATCACTGATTAATAGGCAATTCGCGAAACTATGAAGATTTTACTACCCCTTTGCTTCATTATGTTCGTGAACGTACTGAGAGCAAGAGCCATAGAAAACTGAAAACAATACGCTGTCTCTTGGCCACAGACACGGGTGAATTCGTGGGTGGTGCGTGGGTGGTGCTTGCAGCTGTCACTGTCACTGTCAGTTAGAATCAGTGTTGTCAAATCCAATTTTTAAAATATGTAATTGTAATATTTTTGTTCTTAAAAATAAACATTATTTTATTATTTCTTTACAATTTACTATATTTACCTGCTACCCAAGTATCTCATAACAGAAGCCTTAATCCGGGTCTTATTCGCCGTCTTTACAAATTGCAAACAATGTTATCCATTGTTTGCAATTTGATTAGGAGCGTGGCCTAACAGTTTTTATATCGGCAACTAGATAAAACTTGTTTTGATAGCATATTTTGTTAGAAAATTGGTGCAGGTGACCCGCCTTTACAGTGAGGTCAATTTTGGTACTATGCTCTAAACTTAAAACTAAATATAACATCACCCTCTCTCTCTCCTTTTCATTCTTTATGGAAATAACAAGAATACACTGCTGTCAAACCGAATGTGGTAGAATCAAAAACAATGCTTAGCCGGATAGCAAAAGGTGCGGGTTGGAGTATCGTCTGCTGCCTGGTTCACGTGGAATTTTTTCTAGTAAAAATTTCTTTAGCTATAAACATTGCTTAGTTTGGGGCTAGGCTATTCGATGCAAGTGTAAGATAATTATATATATATTCTTGTTATTTCCATATAGAATGAAAAGGAGAGAGAGAGTGATGTGTCATTTAGTATATACTATTTTTGCTAGCTTTTCAGTTATTAATATTTATGACGTACAATAAGCATAGAAAAACATTAAATTACAATACAACATTTACTCGTCCATGATTTACTTATAGCGGAAAGAAGTGTATTAGAAAGTGAGGTATATATAATGTTTGCTGAGCATTTTTATCATTTTTTCTGGCATTATTTTACGCTGGGCACATTTTTCGCGCTTTTTTGTTGTTGTCAGTTGTTGCTATAGATAGAATTCTAGACCCGCGTACAATCATTATATCTGTGGTAGTCAAACGGACCGATATTAATCGATTATGCTTAAACGCCTATATTGAAAACAAAACTTATATGACAGCCAGCATCTTTATTTTTACAAACAACGCTTCGTAACTAAAAATAAACCACATTAGTAACACATTTTATAACCATCAGAACGTGGTCTACAAAAAATAATATTGTAACTTTTTTTTATTAAAGATGAGACTGTAACTCTTGTCGACCCAATGTTTCTTACATTGGGTCAGCGGCAGGAAGCGAGATAGGTCATGTTTGTGTCTTTTGACCTTGACTACCTCTGCTGCCTTACACCCCACCCATTGTGACTGAGTGGGGCACATTACTTCTTATGTCAAAAGGAAAGTCTTTTCTAATTTTCAGCTTGTTACCTCATACCATAACGAGATTGAACTTTCCTAAGACACAGCCTAAGGAAGGACTCATTTGACTGGACTAGTATTGATTCTGGCATGATTCACTAAACTTATTACCAAAGGAGATGCTTTAAAAGTGACAGTCGGTTTCCAGTAGCGAAGAAACAATTATTATAATTTGAAAACTTGTTTTTATTATAACAGAAACACATACTTTTGTTTTTTTACTTATCTCTGATTAATTTTAAATCATGTATAAAATTGAATTTAAAATTTTCATTATCAAGAAGAATCATTCAATTCAATTAGATTGACAATCATATATCGTATTATCAACGAGCATCCCTATTTTGTTACGATTGTCACTGTCAGAGAACTGTCAGTTAACTGTCAACCTAAAGAATGCCAGCTGTTTTGTGGAGTGGTGGACTCATATATTTCCTAAGTTCATAGAATTTTTGGAGAAAAAATGGAATCAAATGACATTCTGGATGACAAAGATAGCGGGCCTGAGGTTCAGATCAATTTGCCCAGCTCTGTCATCAGTCGCATCGAGGAGTTGATGGGCGGAACTGAACAGTTTGATAGTGATGAGGTATGTTTGATAATAACAATCCATTTCCTTGGCGGCTCTTTTCTTCTAGACCTTGGGCCATCATACTCTGTAAAGTTCATTTCCAAAATAACTGTGCCTTTTCTAAGCTACTCAGATTTCTGTTCCTATTAATTTAAAAAAAACAAATTGGATAAGAATTCTTAGTCAATGTTAATTGAACTACTTTAACACTTTCTTGGGTGTGAATTAAACCTTTCCTTCATTCCTATTAATAATTTTCTATAGGGATTTCTTAATAATATATATCAAGAGGTTGTAAGTAGCTCCATCTTAACATTAGAAACTGAATAAGTGTAATGAAAGAAAGAAAACTCCTTATAACAGTGATTACAAAATAAAAGATTTCTGTTTTTCAAAAATATTCTTTTGACATTGTTTGGTGAAGTTCTTGTGATTAATCTTGTAATAAAATTTCTTGTTTTAATAATAAAATTTATTTAAAAAACAATACTATTGAAGTACTCATTGTGATGTGACATAGCAGAATCAGCACCCATATGTTGTTTATGCCACCCATGTGTTAAGTTTATTTTTCAAAAAAGTTGTATTTGTTTTGTTACAGTTTGATGCAGTTGCATACATTAACAGAGTATTCCCAACAGAACAGTCGTTATCTGGAGTAGAGAGTGCAGCTGCCAGATGTGAATTTCGCCTTTCAGGTAAATATCAATATGATGAAAATTTTCATTTAATGGTGTACCACAAAACCACAAACCAACTTTTTGATAGACAAAACAAGTTTCAGTGGGTTAGATGCACTGGTTTTATTTATTTATTGACGCATCCATTGCAGGAATGCATCGTCGGAATAATGAATTTCTTTACTTTATCTACCTACCTTTGAAAGACTTTCCGATATTTCATTGGAAGATTTTTAAAACTCTACTGTCTAAGTATGAATTTATTAGCTAATTTAATTAATAAAGTACTTAATTCGTAGCGTAACGGGTCAGTGCATCCGCCCGGATAGCAGATACGGTTTCAATCCCATCTGCTCACTGGACCGCGTTTTCTTTAGATTAAGACCTGTAATTTTGTCTGGTGTGTGTGTGTGTCATAACTACAGAATACACCAAAACAGAAAATTCAACTGCCGAATTTGAATTCTGCCGGCGATGTAATTTACGTAATATTATTGCTATTAACGGGATTGTTACCGTGTACCTTATTTTTTATGAGTCTCCGATATTTCGGCACTGTTGCAAGCGCCATTATCACGGAGTAATTGCGGGTAGATGTTATTGGCAGACATATACTAATTCTAATAGTAATTTAGGTAGGTGTGTTTCGACATCAAAAACTGATGAAGACTGTTTGTTTGGCATGGCAGGTGTTGAGCAAGATATCCGTCGTTTAGTGCGCGCTCAAGCGGAGCAGCGCGCTGCGGGACAAGAGGCGTTGCTGGAAGCGCAGCGCTGCATCGCTGAACTTGCGTTACAGGTCACAAACATTCATAAAGCCTTGATGACTACCTGGTCTAGCCCCAGCAGTGGGGACTGGAGACGATTTTTTTAAAGGGTAGCAAACAATTATATGGGTATATGGCCCGCCTGATGGTAATCGACCACCGTAGCCTATAGATGCTTGTAATACCAAAAATATCACTTGCACTGTTTACTACTCTGACCCCATCCTCTACCCCATGGAACCTTACCGACAGAAACACAACACCACCAAAAGGTAGCGTTATTTAACTGTGCTCTTCTGTAAGGTGAAGGGTTGCTTCCCAAGACGGGCTCTCTAACTCGAGCGAAAGATCCTCTATGCCCAACTTCTCTTTATTCTGATGATGCTACGTGCGTTTAAAGAATTTTACCTATTTTATGCTAAAATGGTGACAAATAGGCATATGGCCCGCCTCATGGTAAGCGGCTGCCATAGCCCATCTATAAACACTTGCGATCAACGATATTAAATACCCTAGCTACACCAACACGAACAAAATCGTGCCAGAAACCTGTCCTAAAGGTACTTTGTCGATCCACGGGGCTCCGTAAGATAATCGCTTCGTCAAAAACAATATAAGGCATTAATTAAATATTTAAAGTCACCTAATGCATACTTTATAAGGTCTTAATTAAAACGCATGCGTCAGAGAGATACGACATTTCGAAATGCAAGCTCGTAAAATTTTACGACTTATTGCTAAATGCGGACGAATATAGAACTTATTTCTTTGTCTCTACTCGCAATTCTATTAAATCAGTTTATAGTAAGTATTAAAACAAAATTTTACTTAAAACAACAAACATGAATTAGATACCGTGTCGAAAAAACGACACTTTACGTACTATAAGTATTTTGTTTTGCATCATTTCCACGGAGCTCTGCGGCAACTTGACTTTTCAAAAGTCCACGCGTGACTGTGATCCAAGAAGTGGTATTCAAGCACTTCTTTACTGGGACACATTTTGAGCGCACGTGGTGTATCTAGGGTATTTAATATCGTTGCTTGCGATAGAAAAAATATCACTTGCGACCCAATCTCCTTTTATTAATTTAGGATAGTGACGCGAATTTCTTCTTACATCCACCAGGTTGCCGATATCAATAAGAAAGCTGAACGCAGCGAAAGCATGGTACGAGAGATTACCTCAGAAATTAAGCAACTGGATTGTGCTAAATGGAACCTAACTGGTGCAATTACCGCTTTGAATCATCTGCATATGTTAGTTGGTGGTGTGGGCTCTTTGAGGCAGATGACTGCTGCCAGGCAGTATAAGGAGTTGGCTCTACCCATGCAAGCTATTATGGAGGTAATGCAATAAAAAGATCTTTGAAATAAATTGTAAGCAAATATTGTAAGTCTTTGCACTCACACGAATTACTTAATTTAGCTCCAAAATTTACTAAAAGGTAGTGTTATTTATTGTTACATTGGGAACCATAAAGGTAATATATATTTTAACACAATTCCTCAAAAAATGCATTTACGGAGGTTGTATACATCGTTCGTAAGTTCAGAATTACAGGTCATACATAAATAAATAAAATGTTTACCATCATTTTACCGCACGCTACGTTAACACTCATCATACTATTTAAATAAGTTTAATAATAATAAATAATAACATAAATCCCGCGGAAGTGTGGTGGTCGTGGCTTTCTAAATACCAAGACATTGCATAACCGCGAGATTAACAATCTAAGGGAGTATTTTCTTAACGTCGATATGGGGATTCATAGAGATGTAGTTGCTGTTGACAACTCACTCCTCTATTTTTAGCAAAAGAAAACTGGCGCAGGCCTGTAGTACTTAGTACTTTGGATGGCAGCATTGTATGGCAAAGCAAGGAGTTGCATGGCAGATTCTACCGGGCTCTCCATGGGCCTGACGTAGATTTATCAGCATCAGTATCCTGGCTACGTTTCGGTGACCTTTTTGGTGAAACCGAAGGTTTTATCTGTGCAATTATGGATGAGTTTGTGATGACGAAGAACTACCGGAGGTTTATACTGAAGGATGGCACATTGGATGTTTGCCGTGCGTGCCATCGCCCAGGTGAATCCCTTAGGCATATAATCTCTGGTTGTTCTCGTCTCGCAAATGGCGAATATTTGCACAGACATAACCAAGTGGCCAGGATAATACACCAACAACTTGCTTTGAAATACAATCTTTTAGCATCCGAGGTTCCTTACTACAGGTATGCTCCAGAACAGGTTCTTGAAAATAGCCATGCCACATTATATTGGGATCGATCTATCATTACAGACAGGACTATTGTGGCTAATGAGCCCGATATTGTATTGATAGATCGACACGAACGCCGTGCAGTAGTTGTTGATGTCGCTGTCCCCCATAACGACAACCTTGTAAAAGCTGAAAAAGATAAAGAAAACAAATATCTTGATTTAGCTCGCGAGATTGTTGACATGTGGAACATCGATTCAGCAATTGTTGTGCCGATAATCATATCTGCCCATGATTTGATAGCCAAGAGCCTCGATAAACACCTTAAGAGGCTCGCGTTAGGTGATTGGGTCAAGAGTCAGATGTAGAAGGCAGTTCTTCTGGACACGGCCCGTATAGTGAGGAGGTTCCTGTCTATGGATCCTTAACCGCCGGTAGCAGGGACCCCTGATCTTGCTGCCGATGGGGAACTGCATTTTTGTATTTTTAAATGTTATTTTTTTAATGTTATACATTGTAAAAATTTAATATTTAGAAATATAATTTTGTATGTATTTTAATGAAATAAAGGAAATAATAATAATAATATTTCCACACCAATTAGCCTAGCCCCAAAGTAACCACTATAAGGCTTGTGTTATGGGATACTAGGGTAACGGATAGAATACTTAAACTGTACATATCTAAGTATATTTATAAAGAATTACATATTAAACATCCATGACTGGAGTACAAATGCTCGTATTCATCACACAAACATCTGCCCCCACCGAGATTCGAACCCGGGACCTCTCGAGTCGGCGACACCATGAAACCAGGCCTACAAACCTCTCGGCCACGGAGGTCGAGTATGATGAGTGTTTCTTTCCAGGTTTTGCAGCATTATAGAAGGGACAACTTCTATAATTCTATGTTATTTGCAGGTTTTGCAACATTTCGAGTCTTATCGCGAGATCAGAGAAGTGAGCGCTCTAAGAGACCAAGTGTATGAGATAAGAAATCAGTTGGCCACGCAGATACTGGCAGATTTCAAAGAGGCATTCACAGGTTAATACTCTTTCACCATCATCGGCCTATTAATGTCCCTACTGATTAGTGATGCGACGAATGTCATTTTTTGAATATTCGCGAATGAAAATGCGAATGCGAATATTTAGTTTAAAGTTGTGTAACAATGAATATTCAAGGAAAGGAAGAACTACAACTACTATGAGAAATCATTTGATGGCATTGCATAATGCCGACTTTTTTTAGTTTTGTCAAAGAAGTTAATAATATAACATTAAAATATAAGTAGAAAGTGATAAAAATTTCTTGGAAGAGTTTGTTTTTGTTTGTTCACATTGCGTTATTTATTTAGTTTATTAAGTTCTAATAAAAATTTAATTGTTAAGCTTCATTACACCAAGTCAAGAAAATATATAAATAATTCCAAATGCTAAAGTCAAGACTAATAATGTGATTACGAGGTTAAGTTAATTTTTCTTGCACTAAGAACATAAGAAATGAATGGATGGAATGCTTTTTTCTAATATTCATATTCGCAAAACCATTCGCAGAGAATTTGCGAATGCGAATGTGAATGCGAATTTGCAAAAATATGCGAATATCCGTGAATATGAATGCGAATATTCGTTACATCACTACTACTGATGGGGCACAGGCCTTTGCTTCCAGGATGGAACAAGCAGTATAATAAGAGAATGCATTTAGCGTTAAATCCGCCTTTTGTCCATTTTATAATTGTGCCAATGAAGTTTAAATAAATAAATAAAATAATATGGTGTGTGCTAACGACTGCAGATGCAGCCGGGACCGACGGCTTAACGTGCCTTCCGAAGAGCGGAGGAGTAAGAGATTATAAGTTCTTGATCACCCATCCAATGACCGGCCATTGCGAAAGTTGCTTAACTTCCCCAATCGCAGGCCGTAGTAATTAACAGTCCTTACACCATTCGGTTTCACAGTCAAAAGACATCTGATAAAGATAAAGTAAAATGCAATTTTGTTACAGATATTCACAGTTAAATATATGAGAAAAAAAAAAGATTTCCAGAAGGAGTTGATTGGTACATAAATAATCTTTATACCTTTCGGAGTCAAAGTTTTAATTGTCTTTTTTTTAATTTATTGCTAAACAGTGTAATGTTTCCAGAATTCATGTGTATTTGCGTTTATTTAATGAGAATTAACCTTTTTTATGTAAATGCAATTTAGACATAAGCAAATTTAAAGAATTTTTTGACTAGAAATAAATTTTCTCAGCTCAGATAAGATTGAAACCGACCAAGTTGAATTTTATCTAGTATTTTTTATTAAGTTTTTTTGAAATAGAACTGATTTATGCTTAAAATATAAAGTATATTAAACTACAATTAAGCTTGCAAAATCGTGAGGAGACACATTTACTTTCGTATCAGTAATATTTTTATTGTTTTTGTTTCGTAGCTGGGAGTAAAAGCACCGTGTCCCACAAGACATTGTCCGATGCTTGCGCGGTTGTCGACATCCTAGATCCTAAGGTGAAGCGAGAATTGCTTCAATGGTTCATCGGGATGCAGATTCAGGTAAGCTGTTTGACTCTCTAAATATCTATGCAGAGTATGTATGTTTAAAAGGTACACATTTATGACCAGGAATGGGACCTATGTCCCTTACTATGTACTTTGTTTTTATCCCGGAAAAATGATAGCTTCCTGAGGAATTCTCCAAAAACTAAAGTTAACACGGAGTAATTCTCCATTAAACTAAAGTTAAAGCGGAGGAATTCTCCAAAATATAAAGTTAACGCGGAGGAATTCTCCAAAAACTATAGTTATCGCGGAGGAATTCTCCTAAAACTAAAGATAACGCGGACGAAGTCCCGGGCGATTTATTATACTATTAGGAAGTAGGATATAGAAATGTTTATTATTCATGTATTTATTTAGGAGTACCAACATCTTTTCTCTGCCGAGCAAGAATGCGCTTGGCTTCCACACGTGGAGAGGAGGTACGCTTGGTTGAAGAGACACCTTCTCAGCTTCGAAGACACCCTCGGGAACCTGTTCCCTATGTCCTGGAAGCTCAGCGAGAGGATAGCCAGGCAGTTCTGTCAGGTAAGTGGACGGCTGTGGGAGCTAAATAACTTTCGCAATGGCCGGTTATCGGATGGGTGGTCGGTAATGTATTATTTCTCGCTCCTCCGAGCTTCGGGAGGCAGTTTAAGCCTTCGATTCCGGCTGCATTTGCAATCTCGAAAGAAGAATTAAAATTCTTCTCTCGAAACTGGTTACAAAAAACGTTTACGAAAAAAAATGCTTACTCTTTTTGCTACTTCACTATAATAGTTTTACAAAATAAACTAAAATTCATTGATGGTAAACATAAAAATAAACGCATATTTTTGCGAATGAAATCTGATCTTTATTGCGTCAGACCTTTTGTCATCATTTCTCATTTTTGTGTTCAGATAACCCGCTCAGAACTCTCATCGATGATGTCGTCTCGTAAAAGCGAACTCGACGTGAAACTACTCTTGTACGCGATACAGAAGACATATAACTTCGAATTGTTATTACACAAGAGATTTACTGGTGAGAAAAATAGTCTTATGTACGCCGTTTAGATTAAAACATAAAGGGAAGATACGGCACTCGCGGCAAAAGTGATCCGTTTAAATTGTGGTGCATGACCACAAATCGCTTTAGTCACAATAGGGTATTTGACAAGTTTTAGAAAACGATCTCACGTTATTGACTAATGTTTATGGAGTCCGTAAATAGTGGATATTCTCATTCTGATGTGTATTTCAGTAAAAATAACCAAATCAAAAACTCCATTTTCAAGTTGCTGCGAAAACGTTTCTCTGGACAATATGGCGTCTCACAGGTGTGTGACGTCACACGACTGTTATTAAAACGTCAAAAGATACAATATAATGTCACTTTAACCGGAAGGTTACTTGCGTGTGACGTCATTTTAGGCTCCGCCAATCCCAAGCGTTTTGGGTCACGTGACAATAGATAAGAAAACTATTATCTTTTTCGTGGTTTTTTAGTAAAATTATGAATATTTTTTCTGTAAAAATAGTGGAAATCCCTGCCAATATTCGTTCTAAACACAGATGCTAACAATTGGCACTTTATTTTTAATACTGTCAAATACCCTATTGGATATCCATACACGATGCATGTGCACTCAACATAACAATATTGCGTATATTCTGTGTTATAAAGATAAAACAATGCCTTCGATGCTATTATAAAGAACACAAATAATTCAAGATTAAATAACAAATGCCATGGCAACACTTTTCATTCGTAAAACTATGTATAAAATCTTTTTTTTTCTCAATAAGCGGTTTGCCATAGATGTTGGTAACTGATTCGCCATATTTATCAGGACAACCATACAACTGAGCCGTCTATAGAGAGAGAAAATAAGACGCAGTCTGTTACATAGTGTCGCGGACTCGCGCTGCGTTGCAGCGTACAGTACACCTAGCACGAACCATTATCGAATTCGAATAGTTTGCAAACCGAAATGTCAATGTCAAATTTTGTATGGAAACTTGAACAGCAGCGGCACTTCGGACATAACGGGAACTAAAAATCAGTACACATTTGACAATGACATTTCGGACTCGCAAACGTTACGAATTCGATTTTGGTTCGTGCTGTATATATATACTGTTCTGTCTCGCTTCTGCAAGTGTGTGAGAGTTGCTTATGTAGATCCGGATCTGGATATGGATCATATTTTATTTGATACTAGTTTGAGCGTACCGTATGTTCCCTTTTTGTTTTAATCTAAGGTACGCCGTGTTTCAAGGTGTCGCCAACTCAAAGGTCCCGAATTCGAATCCGATGGGGCAAGTGTGTGTATGATGAATACGAGCATTTGCACCTAAGTGTTGTCAAGTCATGAATGTTTTTTTTTGTATTTCTAGATAAATATACTTATGTAAAATTATGTGTGTGTATTCGGTCTATTACCTTAGTATACCATAACACAAACCTTACAGTGCTTACTCGTGTGTTTGCTAAAAATAATTATTACAGTTTTTTTTAACATCAATTTTAGACTTAAATTTATTTACGAAATAAGAAATATCCTGTATTTTAGGTACTGATTTGGTAGCAGAAAATATTGACCCATCTGCATTAGACAAACAAGATGGATTCGAGCCGGATGCCAAAGATGTGAGTTCATTTTATATCCCTTAAATGGTTTTTAATTTAACCAGCAACATTGTTAAGTTAACAACTATCAACACAGAAATAACAACTTTTTGCTATCTCTGCTTCTTATTTCAATCAACTGTCGGTCCGAAAAGTCAATCTCAGCCGCAACATACATAAATTATGATAAAAACAGAATGTCGCTAGCAGTACAAAATAACGACCGTTCTCAGAGACGTCAAATAAAAAAACGTTAAATAAATTTAATGTCATTTTAAGTCACATGTTGTCTTATTCTTATTTCATCGCAAAGAAAGAGACAACACTTACTTTAATCACACTGAAAACTTAAATCACGTTTCTTAGGAAAACCGTGTTTCAGAAAAATCACAATGTCATTAATATTATACAGAGTGATGTCTAGTTTATTTACCGACTTCAAAGAAAGAGCAGCTTTCGAATTCAACAGTGTATTTTTTTTTAAACTTGGTTTTGCTAGATCCGCGTCTCATTTACAGAACGATTCGACAAATGTTCCCTCCTTCCTATAATCTGGGGTCCTTTAAGATAGGCGTGAAGAAGCATTTTTGCAGGCCGGCAAGGATGATTGGTGTAGCAGTTTATAACTGTTGTACCAGCTATCTTCGCGTTTGGACTTTATTACCACTTAAAATCAGGCGGGGTAGAGTCATTTGCCTACCTTAATATAAAAAAAAATGACGTGTCAGACACTAAGAAAGGAGTCGGATAATAGTGGGGGTAGGACTCGGCTTGAGTATGTTCTATAGGGGCTTGCTTCGAGCCGCATCTGTCTTTGTACATATACAGGGCCGTCTTTAACCTATTGGAGGCACTGGGCATATGACGATAATGGGGCCGGGTATGACTTTGATGAGGATTATGACTTGAAATGGAGCGAGTCACACTGATAAGTGTGACTACTGATGATTTTTCTTTAAAATGTGTGTGTGCTTAGTATACCATTATATATTTAAATTTATCTAAGCATGCTGAAGTCGGAAAGTCTAATTTTTGGGCGAGAGTAGAATAGCTTCGCGCATGTAAAATCTAGTACGTTGGTTTTGTAGTCAGTAATTAAGGGTCGATTTCTTCGAATTATATAAGTTTTTTGGTAATAATAGTACAGTCAATCTGTAGGTTGAGTGGTGAAAAAAAAACCTAAAGGTTAAAAATCTTGTTTTTTTCTGTTGCCAAATAACGTCAGTAAGCCACCTTAGCGATGGACATGTTCAACTCGTAGGCGTTTTTTTGAAAAACTCAAAAAAACCCTCAAAAATATTTTGAAACGCATTTTTCTTGTTTTGTATGCATTTTAGAAACTTTTTTTTGCCCATAATTGTAGAGGGCGTTGAGTACTACAATTTATGTTATGGTCGCAATCTCGTACAACAAAAAATCCGCATTGTTGGTGGCGCTATAATCTCAAAAAAAGTGTTTTTTCACTTTCTTACCCTGAAAATATCATTTTAATGGAAAACTTTAAATGGAAAAGTTGTTCCGTACATAATTACCAACAACTTTTATGTTAACTTTTTTTTGTATTTATATTTAATTATTATTTAGAATGATTTATATTTTATTAACCGACTTTAAAAACAGAAGCTGCTTCACAAACCTTCAATGTATTCTTTTACATTTGTTTTTTTTAAATCAAACTGTCATCAATGTTAGAGTTTTAAACTTTCATGGTCATAGCTATTAACGGGATTGTTACCATGTACCTTGTATTTTTAATACATGTACCTTGTGAAATATCGGAGACTCATAAAAAACAAGGTACATGGTAACAATCCTGTTAATAGCTATAATGTTACACAGAGTGATTTATATTTTATTAACCGACTTTAAAAAGGAGGAAGTTCAAAATTCAAGTCTTAATTTTTTAATTAACTTGTCTTATTTACAGAACGAATCGACCACTGACGTGACAGATACTAAGATAGGGGTCGATAACAGTGGTGGGGAGGACTCTGCATGGGTCCGTTCTATAGGGGCTTGCTTTGAGCCCCATCTGTCATTGTACATACACAGCTTGGATGCGAACTTACGATCCTTTATGGATAGATTTGTGCAGGTATGCTATTTATTTACATTAGTTACTTGTTTATATATTTTCGAGAACATCTACAATGTAAGTAAATAGTTATATAATTTTTTAATAATAGTTAATTTCTCTCATAAAATTCGGCACACAACAATAAACATATAAGTTGATGGGCAAGACCCTATATATATATATATATATACCTTACAAAGGATGTTATAATTTTATATTATAAGAAGTTAATAATCTAGTTAATCTAAATCTTCTTTTATCTTCATATATACACCGTATTCCTGAGGTTATACACTAACTTTGGCATGTTATTCAGACTATTAAATTGATAATTTTTTACTGTGGACACTTTTATGAATTCCAATTTCTTGCTTAGATGTAATGTATCTAATATGAATTACTCTTTACCTGAGCTGGCAACGTCGCATTTGAAACTTTGGTTCACATGTCCACATAAACTTTTAGAAACTTTTCTTGACGTCAACAATGTTTTTAAAATTTTGACTTTTGAAACTATGACTTAATGACCATTGACAAAGAGTTGATAGTTTGATAGTTTTGGTTGCACAAAGTGGCAACATCTCACAGATAAAGACTCTTTCTCACTGCACAACACAATTAAGTTGGTTAAACTTAAATTACCAATAACTTAAAAACTATACTATTTAAACTACTACTTTCCTTGTAAGATATGTTTAACAAGAGCTATAAAAGTATAATTCAAAGTTAATGTATATCCTCAGGAACACGGTGTATAAATGAAGCGTCACGTTGTTTGTCGGGACGGACTCCTAAACTAATTAATCGATTTTAATCAAATTTGCACACTATGTGCAGTTTCATCCACGGAGGAAAAACAAAGAGGAGGTGTGGTGATTAAATTTCCTCAAGAAACGACGCGTGATAATTTGCGGGATGCGGGGTGTTCAGCTCCGCCCACTTCTCAATATTTCATCTATCGGCTAATAGCAAAACTAGCTTAGGTTGATATTTATGTTACTACGTAGTAGTTCAGCTATCTAACACTAGATGTCAAAAGTTTTGTTTATAATGGGACGTACTCAGAACTTGAAGCTTCAAAAAAATTAAATATGTAGTTAAATAAATAAAATAAACGTTGACAAATTTGACCGATTTTAAAAATTTTAAGGTATAAATTTTATTATACCTTAAATCGGCTTGATGAAAAAAAATCCAGGCAGACCAGGCAGCAGACGGGACTCGAACCCGCACCCGCTCCCGTCTGCTGCCTGGTCCGCGTGGATATTTTTCTAGTTATATTTTCTTAAGATTTAAATTTTAAGGTAGTTTAAAAATAATAGACAAATTGTTATTACATACATAATTTTATTAAAAAACATCAATTACCTGTAAATAATAGTTTTGGTTAGTTGTTGTCGGTTGGTTGCCCTATCGTTTTGTATTGTGGCAAAATGCTTAAACCGAATATCAATATATTTTTCTGCAATCGATTTCATCAGAAATACAACATGATTAACTGTAGGTGATTGGTCAAACATATGGTTGGCCGATTTTTTGAAACAATCTTGTCCAATAAGTGACTTTAATGTATTCGGTACAATTTTATGTTTACGAAAGTTAGGAGTATTCAAAGATTGCGATTTAACACAACGAATACTGTCTTCGGTCCGTATACATATTTTTATGACATCTCTAGATGGGAAAGTAAGACCACCCTTATTATTAGATTTTATCAAATCAAGGTCACTATCGTCGTAGTTATCAGCATATAATTCTTTGAGACAGCTCTCACATTTGATCTTGGAATGTAAATATTTGACCACATACCCAGAAATATATGCTACTATTTGACGGCGCAAATAGTCACCTATAGTTGTATTTAATTGTTCATCAAATTCCAATAACATATCGTCAGGCATAGGCTCGACATCCGTGCTATCCGAAGACTCGAAACTCATTTTATTTAAAATGCGATAACGTTCTGATGTAATATTAATTTTTTGCACAGAAGATTCATTTAAAATGGAAATATCTTCTTCTTCTATGGTGTCCAATCCGGTCTATTAAGTTTTGAAATCCATTGCTGTTTTTGTTGGATGGAAATCTAAAACGAACATAAAAATAATTAAAATTTATTTACTTGGTAAAATAATTTAATACGTATTACGGCCCTGGATATTTGTAACGTTTAAAAAGTTATTCTATATGACGACAGATGGCGGCCAGTTAGTTATATATTGATAAAATTACTGTTTTAGATAATAAAAGTTATTTAGGAATAAGTGTATAACAGTTTTCAGTATTTACGTTTGATTATTACAATATACTACTGCAAAATTATACGTAAACTTGTGTATTTTCTTCCTAAAAGTGTCGCCATCTGGTGTCAAGTAGTAGAATTTTAACGCTGATAGCTGAGGCTGAGAATGTTCTAGAACTTATATATTTAATTACGTATAAAATTACTTACAAATGAAATGTGATGCCATCCATATTATCAGAACGTCTGTCTGAGTAACTTTGACATAGTAAAACACAAAACTTCATCCTTTTCTTGTTAAAAACGCAAAAAAACACTTATAATGCGAGTCTCGTTAAGTGTGCACCTGACGAACGCTGAAAGCATACTGACTTAGGCCCCGCCCACAATGATGACGTCAGGACCTAGTTGAAAATCACAGTGCACAGTTGCTTAGGCCAGCTCCTCTTTGTTTTTCCTCCGTGGTTTGATCCAACTTGAAAGATGTCTGTCTGCGTTTAACACTAAAACACTAATAATAATCACATATAAACATTATTGAATGCTGTTTCATAGAGATTAACGATTTGGTCTGTTTGTTTGTCTGTCTGTCATTAAGGACGCCAAATCCGTCGACGCCGGCTCCGGCATAGGATCCGGCGCTGGTGCAGTAATGGCTTCGTGTGGGGACTTGTTCTTGTTTTACAAGAAATGCCTAGTTCAATGCGCTAGATTAACGACTGGAGAGCCGATGTTAGGTAAGTCATCATCAGCCTATTAATGTCCCCACTGCTAGGGCACAGGCCTACCCTATGGATGGAATAGGGAGATTGGGCCATTAAAAAGATGCACTTTTAAGCGTGTTTCATTTAATGAGTGGTGTGCGTGAAAACTTGAGAAACAAATAAAGATTTATAAACATCTTATGAAGTAACGTAATATAAATATGTAATAGGTTCATCATCATCATCATTAGCCTATTAATGTCCCCACTGCTGGGGCACAGGCCTACCCTATGGATGGAATAGGGAGATTGGGCCATGACCCACCACGCGGGCCCAGTGCGGATTGGTGGGTGCTAACGACTGCAGGTGTAGCCGGGACCAACGGCTTAACGTGCCTTCCGAAGCACGAAGGAGCTCGAGAAGTTTTTGGTCACCCATCCAATGACCGACCACTGCGAAAGTTGCTTAAGTTCAACGATCGCAGCCGAACGCGCTAACCACTTGCGCCATCGAGCTCCTCAATGTAATAGGTTATGAGTAAAGAATTAAAAATAAAATTCCGGGATTCCAGGATTAAATAACTAAGCCAATGTATATTTTCTTCAAGTTAAATTAAATCCCGTTCGAGTATGTGTGTTTGTAAGTAAGGTATAAGATACATGTTGGCGTGGTTAATAAGAAAACATGAATGAATATAAATTTATTTATTTCTCAACCTCAACCATATTACTTCGCAACAGGGCAACTGTCATTTGTGCCAAACTGGGTTTATTAGATTTCACAGAGAATTTTGTGTGAGCGACTGCCCTAGCAACGTATAAATAACTCCAAAAAACAGATAGATGAATACATTCTGGCCTTTAAGTATCTATCTAACACCTCCCTTCACGAAGACACACCTGTTAAATGTCAGTCTTTGGTATCAAACCAGAGTAGTATTGAACAAAATGACACTGATATAGTATGCGAGTCCATGATCACTAAATCTGTTCACTCGGAGATCACAACTAGTTGTAATTCTTTTAAGCAGAGTAACTGTCAGAAGTATATAATGTTGTGTGACGAATTAGGTAAAGATTTAGGTTGCTTATTAAAAAAACAGCTGGGTGAAAGCATAATTAATTATTGTTTGCCAGGTGCCACAATGCACCAATTAATGAAAAAAATATTAACTTTAGAACTTGACAAAAATACAAGTTTAATTATTTTAATGGGTAATAGAGGCAATATTAACAAAAATGACATTATGACCTACTATAACTCTTTGTGATCTTTAAATGTAAATAGAATAGTTATGTTTACATTTCCATATAGTAGGAGTCTATCAAATGAAGAGATTAATATTAGGTATAGGCTAAATTTGGCATTAAGTACCATGACTCAGTATAGTAGTCAAATAGTACATCTAATAGATATAAATAAATTAATATATAATTACAAAATGACAAGAGATAAATATTATCTTTCGTATTACAATAAGAGACAAATAGCTTCTTCGCTATTATTTTATTTTACACACATAGCCAAAAATTTGGCTATCACTACTGCTTCTATTGAGCAGCATAATTATGTAGATCAGACCTTGGAATTTGTTCCAAATACTGACATTAATTGTAATTTAAATTAGTTCTTAAGACAACAAAGGAACTCTCTAGCTACAACATGACCAAGGAAAAGTCTAAATACCTAAATATTGTTCACCAAAATATACAAGGCTTTTCTGGTAAAGACCTAGAAGTATGCTTATTTTTAAATGCAAAGAATATTAGAATATTATGTATTACTGAGCACTGGCTCAGAGATTATGAATTAGTTATGAACTTAGATAATTATACAGTTGCTAGTAGTTTTTGTAGGAAATCGGCTATCAGGGGAGGCTCTCTCATAATCTTACAGAATGATCTTAAATACAAAGAACGTTCAGATATTGTTTCACTTTCAGTTGAACGTAATATTGAACTATCTTGTGTGGAACTTGATGAAATGATCATAATATGTGTATATCGACCCCCATCTGGGAATTACACTCAATTTGAGTCCGCTATGGAAGACGCTTTCAATATAGTATGTAAATGTAATAAAGTGCTTGTTGTATGTGGTGATTTTAATATAAATATTTTAGTTAAGTGTCCGTTAGTGGGTAGGTTTCTAAACTTATTTAAATCATATAACTTGGAGCATATCTTCTTTGAGCCTACCCGCATCACACATGCATCAGCAACCTGTTTGGATAATATTTTTTGTAATAGGAAAGTTTTTAATAAATCAATAATAAATTGTATTAATTCTGATCATAGTGGACAATTAGCCTCTCTTGAACACCATCATGCTTCACACAAACATGACCTAACTTATAGACCAATTACACAAACGGGTATAAATAAATTTAAAGATAGTGTTTATCATAAAATGTCGGACTTACCAGTTTGTAATAATAATAATATTTTATATGAAGATTTATTTAATTTAATTAAAGATGAATTTAATAAAATATTCAAACGCAAAGTAATTAAATGCCATAGCTCTAAAAAGAATTTTAGTGATTAGGCCACACCTGGTATTTACAAAAGTAGAAATAAGTTGTATCAATTATATGCTCTCAAAGCAACCTCATCTGATCCTAAGTTTATAGAATATGTCAAAAACTATTCAAAAACTTTTAAAAAGGTGTGTGCCATAGCGAAAGCTAAATTTTTATCAAAAAAAATTAGTCTATCAGATAATAAAATAAAGACAACTTGGAATATAATTAATAATGAAACTGGAAGAAATAAATTCAATGAACGCACATATTCTTTAAAAATAGACAACAAGATTATTCGGACAGATGATGCCGTTGCCAACACTTTTGAAAATTTCTTTTCTAGTGCACCGTTTGAATCAACTAGAAATCTTAATTCTTGTTCTAGGTTAGCAATGACCCTCCTTGAGTCAAGCGTTGATAAGTGCAGTAATGATTTTTATTTTAGACATATCAGTAGTGATTGTATTATAAAAACATTTAATTCTATTAATATTAAAAAGACAGAGGATTTATGGGGAATATCAACATATATAATAAAACCGATTATCACTGTCATTGCGCCACAACTGGCCATTATATTTAACAAATGTATTGATGAGGGAGTGTTTCCAGATCTAATGAAATGTGCTAAAGTTATCCCTCTTTTTAAGGCTGGTGATAAATCAGATCCCAGCAATTTTAGGCCTATATCTGTATTACCAGCGCTAAGTAAAGTATTTGAGGAAATAATTTATAACCAATTACTAGCACACTTTTCTATAAATAAGCTACTTCATTTAAAACAGTTTGGTTTCACTAGAGGCAAAAGTACTACTGATGCTGGAACTGCACTTCTCAAACACATTTTTGATATATGGGAGAGTAAGCACGATGCTATTGGCATTTTTTGCGATTTATCTAAGGCGTTTGACTGCGTTAGCCATGAAACATTGTTAAATAAAATGAAGCATTATGGTGTATCAAATATTTCACTAAGTCTGATACAGTCTTATCTTTCTGCTAGGATTCAGAAAGTAGTTATAAATGAAGCTGAGTCTACAGGAGCACCCATTTCTATGGGCGTGCCCCAGGGTTCAATATTGGGCCCATTGCTTTTCCTTATTTATATTAATGACCTTCCTCACTTTACAAGAGATTTGTGTGAGACAGTACTATTTGCTGATGACACCTCTTTAGTGTTTAAAGCTAGGAGAGGAAATGATTGTTATGACGAAGTAAATTGTGCTCTCTCTGAAGTCCTTCGCTGGTTTACGGTAAATAATTTAAAACTAAACTCTAGCAAAACAAAATGTGTTAAGTTTACTTTACCTAATGTGAGGCAGGTTAATACTAGTTTAAAAATAAATGAGCAGCCTGTAGAGTTAGTGGATTCTACAAAGTTTCTGGGTATTACTTTAGACTCGCATCTGCAATGGGATCCTCATATTGATGCCTTATCAAGTAGACTGAGCTCTGCGGCCTTCGCTGTTAAAAAAATAAGACTCCTACTTACTGGTTACTTTCATAGCGTTATGTCATATGGCCTTTTGTTGTGGGGCTCAGCTGCTAATATAGAAAGTATTTTCGTACTGCAAAAGAGAGCTGTTCGCGCCATATATAATTTAAAGGCAAGAGAATCTCTTAGAGAAAAATTTAAAGAAATTAATATTTTAACACTGGCATCGCAATACATTTATGAAAATATAATATATGTAAGAAGAAACTATGACGCATTTGCAAAAAAAAGTCAAACCCATAACTTAAACACGAGATTTAAGAACAAGCTTGCCGTTCCATGTTTCAGACTCCAAAAATCTAGAGGTTCATTTCTGGGATGTAGTATTGCATTGTTTAACAAAGTTCCCCAAGATCTGATTGAGCTTCCACTAACCAAATTTAAATCTCAGATTAAGAATACTCTTATGAATAAGGGCTATTATAAAGTTAATGATTATCTAAATGATCGTAATGCATGGACATAGTGTTTCTTGTAATTTCTTATTTGATGGGTATGAGTCAGTTTTGTAACAGTAGTATGGTACCTATCTAATGCCGCTTCCTATATATACTAAATATAAAATTTGTTGTAACTATATATCTATACCCTAAATAATGTAATGGAAGGTGACTTCAGAAGTATGTCTGAAGTCATTTTTCAACTTGACGACTCTGTATATATCAATACAGGGAGAAAAAAGCAGCCCTTGCTGAGTTTCTTGCCGGTTCTTCTCAGTACAAGGTCTCCCGCCGTAGTTTTGCGAACCGATGGCGTAGCTTCTTGACTTTCACAAGTGCTTGTAACAGCCTAGACTGAATAAATGACTTTTCATTTCATTTCATTTCATTTCATTTCATAAATATTGTACTTAGTAATATTGCATGCTGAATAAATACGAATAATGTGTTTTCATTGGCCTGACAGGAAATCTGTGAAGTTTTATTTTGTTTATTTGCAAAAATCAAAGGATTAATTATTATATGGCCTTGTCTCAAGTCATATCAAATGAGTAAAATCTATTATTTTTAGCTCTCTGCAATTTGTTTAAAAAAAATAGGGCCAGAAAGGTTCACCCATAATTTTTGTCTACATTTACTGTTAATAAATTATATAACAATAAATGATAATTAATACTTTCCTTTTGAAAAAGACATGAAGTCATTTTTTATACTTTTAAATATTTGATTATTTCACGAAAGTTTTATGAGAATAATAAACACATAATAATAAATAAAAAAATATTATAATGTTACGGGCTAGTGCGAAATAATTATACACGTTAAGGGCAGTTTCTCAGCCATGTCCTTTGCATTTTCCCGGAATTGCGGGATTTTTTAGATAAAAAAAGTGCTTTCCATAATATCCAACATCTCAAATTTAGGTAAATATGAATCCGATTATCCGATCTCTACTTACACGACAAATTTTTCAAAACGAATTAATGTTATTTAGTATGTTTCTACAAAGAATTAAATTTCGTATTAAAAGTTACATGACATTAGTTTGTGTTTGATGTGTAACAACTTTCCTCTCGCTTTCCTGCAATTTGTGGTAGTCATTTCGTGAAATGGGACGGAAGTATGTAACAGGAAGTCGCGAAAGCGCGCGCTATTTGATTTTAGAACATAATGTTCAAATGGCTTATTACTTTTGTACTAGGTTTTTTTTTTTGGTAATATAAGGTGAGGTTTCAAATGTTACACATCATACGCGACTTCTGTAAGGCTCGCTCAATTTTTTCTTTTGCAGAATTATCAGGGGTGTTCCAAAAATACCTCCGCGAGTACGCGTCGTCTGTCCTACAAGCGGCTTTACCCCGAGGAGGGGGAGGTACCGGTTCTGGTACTGCGGTTCCAGCTCTAGTATCAAATTTGCATACATTACTGAAAGACGATTCCAGTAGCTCCAGGTGAGTGGAATAATCTTGACGAATCTCAGGGGGCCAATCGCCTAAACGAGATTGCTATGGCTATCGCTGTCGCTTACAATTTCATTTTCTTATTTGAGGAGGTGGCGAACGAAACGGTTTCTGGTTAATTACATCAAATAAAATTTTACAGGAGCAGTAAGAAACCGAATGACATACCTACAGTGAGCTTTTGGCGTAATTTTTAATTAAATAATTTTAATACCTTTTTAGGCGGTTGATTGACATGAGTTGAAATTCAAATTCAGCCGGCCCAAAACGACCGGGCTGTTAAAATAAAGTATTATATGATCAAAACCATTTTTTTTTGCGATGTTAAGTGATGGTGAAGTCCAGACGTGAAGATAGCTGATACAGCAGTTCTACCTGCCACACCAGCCATCCTCACCCTGCCGGCCTGCATGTTGCTTCTTCACGCCTCTTTTAAAGGATCCCAGGTTGTAAGAAGGAGGGAACACGTGAGTGGGCAGAGCATTCCATTTACGGATAGTGCAAAGAAATGAGTCACACAATTTCTTTGTACGCGTTGGAATTGTGGCCACAGTTAGACGGTGACACCGAAGGCCAGCGCGCGTGGTTCTCTGAAGGAAAGGGGAAGGTGGAATAAGAGAGAATAACTCTTCAGAACACTCGCCGTGGTACAGATATGCGTGATTATACCATTTTGTTAGCCAGCTCCTCATTTCCGACCGCAGAAGGTTTTGAAATGCCTCGCGCTCTTTTATTTTCTTTTGCACTGGTAATAACAATATTAAAGAAAGGTATTTGAAAACTTTCGGGGGTCAGAAATAACAAAATAAAAACGTTAGCGATAACGATAGCCATAACAATCCCGTTGGGCAATTGACCCCCAGGTCGTAATCGTATCGCATCGTCAAAGTTTCTATATTAACTAAGCAGCGCCCCGGTATCGGACGTAATGACATGTTTATTTATTCACGCAAAACAGAATCTCTTTTTAACTTTTCATACTCACGTTTGTCTGGAACAAATCACTCTTAGCGCTAAGACTGTCAATTGTAACGCTTTTGTTAAGTTTATTCTGCGTTGATGTTATGTAATTCGACGACTTTCAGACGACCTCCTTGGTCCAGTGGTTTGTACGCCGGGTTTCATGGTGTCGCCGACTCGAGAGGTCCCGGGTTCTAATCCCGGTGGGGGCAGATGTTTGTGTGATGAATACGAGCATTTGTACTCCAGTCATGGATGTTTAATATGTATTTCTATATATATATGTACAGTATTATGTATTCTATCCGTTACCCTAGTATCCCATAACACAAGCTTTATAGTGCTTAGCTTGGGGCTAGGCTAATTGGTGTGAGTTTTGGAAATATTTATTTATTTATTATATTTATTTATGTAATTATGTATTTGGTGGTATGATAAAGCGTTAATCTATATATATATATATATATATAACAGAGTAGCTATACATTTTGGTGGTAATTTTGATTTTGTTCGTCTCGTTTTGCCAACGATGGGCATGCGAATGTCAGCTTAATTTAATTATATACAATAGTTGGCACCAGTACTAAATATGCTATTAGCAGCGATTTTACTATTCTGAAAGAACAAATAATACATTTTCTACAAAATTATTAAAGAGATGTGATTTTTTAGCTCCATTTAGCTCCATGAGACGCCTGCGATTGGCCAAAAAATGACATCACACGCTAGTAAACTTCCGGCCGAAGTGACATTACATTGTATCGTTTGACGTTTTAATGACAGTCGTGTGACACACTAGTGAGACGCCAGTGTCGTGTGACACACGAATGTCCAGAGAAACGTTTTCGCGCAACTTGAAAATTAAAATTTTAATTTACTTTTTTTACTAAATTATACAACTAAATTAAAAATATCCACTTTTTATCGACTTCATAAACATTAGCAAATAAAGTGAGATCGTTTTCTAAAAATTGTCAGATACACTATTAAATACTTGTTCAAATGACACTATATGTATTTATGCTGTTCGACACTGCCATCACCACCATCACCCTATTGATGTGTGTTAGAAATGTTCATTTATTCTACCCTCTTTCTCCAGGTATACAAAACAAGAGATCAGTAAGATCACAAGCGTCATAACGACCTCAGAATATTGCCTAGAAACAACCGTACATTTAGAGCAAAAACTGAAAGAAAAAGTAGCAAAAAACCTCGCGGACAAAATAGACTTGGCCCCTGAACAGGATCTCTTCCACAAGATGATAAACAACTGCATACAAATGTTGGTGCAAGACTTAGAGATGGCTTGCGAACCAGCTTTGCAAGCGATGACGAAGATATCGTGGCTAGGATTCGATAATGTGGGCGATCAAAGCTCCTATGTGACCCAAATAATAATGCATTTGAAAAACGCAGTACCCTACTTGAGAGACAATTTGGCTTCTTCAAGAAAATACTTTACGCAGTTCTGCATTCGTTTCGCCAATTCATTCATACCGAAATTCATCCAGAACATCTACAAATGCAAGCCCATATCTACTGTAGGCTCTGAACAGTTGCTCCTAGACACTCATATGCTGAAAACTGCTTTATTAGAACTGCCATCTATCGGTTCTGAAGTCAAACGCCCTGCTCCAGCGATGTACACAAAAGTTGTCATCAAACTGATGACTAAAGCTGAAATGATATTGAAACTGGTCATGGCACCTATAGACGGAAGTTTCGAGGGATTTGTGTCTCAATTCGTGCAGTTACTACCGGAATCTACTATAGCGGAGTTCCATAAAGTCTTGGATATGAAAGGTGCGAAGCTTTCCAAAACACAGCAGTCTTCTTTGGACGCTCTTTATAAAGAAACGACGAAGTCTGTTAACAATGATGAGAGTAAGAGTAGTCAGTATTCGTGGAACAATCTGTCTGCGCGTGGATTCTTCGATAACTTCACTAAAGATAGTAGTGCTTCGGTGAAATAGCTGAAAAGATGCTATAGACGATTAGAACCCTTTTTGGTAGTTCTTAAGGTGCAAAATGTCTTGATCTGGAAAGGGATTGTGTAGTGTTCATGTAATACCGGCACTTGGCTATTTGTGAACGTGACATTAGACTGTCCTTATCATGCTCTGTAAAGAATGAAAAGGACAGATTGATGTTACCTACCAGAATCTAAAATACCGGAATATCATAAAGTCTTGGATATAAAAGTCTTCTTTGGATGCTCTTTATAAGGAAACTACGAAGTCTGTGAACAATGATGACAGTAAGAGTACTCAGTATTCGTGGAACAATCTGGCTGCGCGCGGATTTATCGATAATTTCTCTGAAAATAGTAGTGCTTCAGTGAAATAGCCGAATGAAAGGCAATTTGAACTGTTTTTGGTAGTTCTCATGGTGCAAAAGATCTTGATCATAAAAGGGATTGTTTAGTGTCTATGTAAAGTTTAGGGCATTGCATCGTCCTAACACGAACCGTCGCGTCGTTTTTAGAAACGAGTAAAAGACATTGTTGAAAAATCACTTTCTTGCTAAGTAAACAAAGTCATTATTTGACACTGATTCTTCAATAAAACAAATGGTTAATCAGCAACGAAAATGGTACCTATTACTTGGTTATAACTCGCGCCAGTAAAAAAAGGAATCGCAAATGACGACGCTGTTGGTTTTCTTAAGAAAAAAGAAATTGTAAGATATTCTGTTCCCCTCGCACAAGCTATGTGTCTTAAGTAACGTGCGAGCGAGACAATATCTTGTTTTCAACCTCAAATCAAAAATGTTGCTCAAGTCCTTTGATTATATACACGCTTAGATAAAGCAATCCAAATAAACCACGCAATGAAAACGGTTCATGTTTCACGCAATGTGTGCGTGACTCATATGTCAAATTGTTTGAAAGCAATCAATGTGTGCGTGTGTAGCGACGAGCGTATCTACCATATGTATTTTTTGGCGGGCTTCTGTGCCCGAAAAAATTCATACGGTATCTAGGCGTGTATATGATCAAATCTCAAGTCATTACTTAAGGAGAAGTAACTAATTCCTGTTTATAAATACGATTGAAATAATCATTGTTACATCGCGAATTTGTATGAAGAAACCAATCGCATGACGCGTACTTTAACAATGGAATTTGAATGTAATAGCACATATATTTTATAATTCACATACTTCTGACCTAAGATTTTGTGGCTTACAATTAAGTATCTTAATTATTTATGAATTAGTGATATTAATTAATGTTTTGATTAGAGGGCGCCTAACGGCTTACATTTATTTCTCCGAGAAAGAAGAATTCTAATTTGGTCGCTTAGTCGTTGGGTTAGTGCCGAAATTCAAATGATTATCTTTATATATATAATTCTTCTGTCAGTGTGTATGTCACTGAACTTCTCTTAAACGACTGGACCGATTTTGATGAAATTTTTTATGTGTGTTCAAGGGGATCTGAGAATGGTTTAGATTCACAATTTTGTCCGCTGGACAACCCCTATTTTTTTAGGGCGGTACGAAGTTCGCTGGGTCAGCTAGTTTTCTTTATAACACATGGCTATTCGTTATTGCTCTTTGAGCATTAACATCCTTATTATGCTCTATGGTAAGGAATGAAAGGGAGAGATGGCTATTTGCAAATAGCAAACACAATTCGAGCCATGTAAAGTTGCTAGCTAGAAAAAATTGACGTGACGTTTCTTTAAACACAGTTTAACTTATTATAAACGTCTGTGCGGAAAGAGAATGGGCGTGGCGAAAAACGGAACTAACATTAAGATTTTTATTTGGCTAATCAAACCCAGCAATCTGTAAAACGTCAAAGTTATGTATTGATACGGATTTGTTTGTTGTTGTGATTTCTTGCGGTTTTTTGTATTTAATCATGTCTAAAAGGGGTAAAACCTTACAAATCCGGTAGAAAAGCATTACAGCGCCCTCCAAACTAAATCCCATTCTCTTTCCGCACAGACTCTAACAGCCGTGATGTCACAGTGTAGGTAGCGGCAAACTGGCGCAGAAGACGTTTTAATATAAAAAATGTCTTCCTTGTCAGTGGTCGAAATTAAAGGTGCTGGGGTTTATACCTGTTAAATGATTCGACTAAGCATGTATTTAACTGAAAACACGTTATTTTCATATAAATATTTAAACAAACAGTTCATGTTCCATATTAAATTAATATCGATTTTCTTTTTATTATTTCAGCGTGCTTGAAGTTGATCTTGTAACGATTTTTATTTTTCCGTCCTTTTATTAATGTATGAACGTAGTTCCATATTATATTGGAGTTAGTTACAAAATCGAATTTAAGAAAACTCACTAGGCGCCCTCTGAGTTTGTCTATGGATGGTAATAAATAATTTAATGTAAATATTTTACCTTTAAATTGTGCCTAAAATATCATTCCATCAAATTATTTTGATAGTATAATATATTAATTAAGTAAAAAGTAATTTATTGTGTAATGAGTTTTTTTTTAATTTTATTGTATTATATTATTTTATTGTGTATTTTGATGTATTAAAATGAAGTTGAAAACTGTTGTGTGTCTTCTTGGTCAATCTTACATATTTTTTTTTGACATTAAAATACGGGAACTGACGAGTCAGTGTAATAATGCTCTTACATTTTACATGCAATGGATGCCACCAACTAAGATTTGAAGTAATTTTTAATAATCTGTTTTTAGGGTTCCATAGTCAAGGGAAAAAATGGGACCCTATGCTGTTTCTCTGTTGTCTCCCTGTCCTGATGACACAGATCTAGATCGTGAACGCAATAAGATATAGAATTGAAATTTAGGTTTTATAAGAAGAATGCTTGCCCAGAGCCAAAGCCAAATAATTATTTAAAAAAAAACTATTCTTTATATTTCATGGGGGGTACCACAAAAATGTAACGATATTTTTCTCTTTTGGAACGAAGTTCCTTTTCGGAGCCGATAGACGATATAGCGGATGGGGTTTCGGTAAAAATATACCGTCACAACCTAGCTAGGCAGCTGGGTCATTATATAGATTAGATTTCTTCATTGATGGCTCCCCCGGGATTTGGCCAATATCCGGTGTTTGTGTCCAACGTTTTTTGTCTAGGTTTGTCCGGTGAGTGTTTGTCTATTGTTTTTAACTCTGTTTATGCTGTGGAAGTGTGCAAGTACGAGGACATAGGATTTTGGAAAAAGAATAGGGAAATACAGAAAGGAAAGGTTAAGGTATAGTATGTTGAACTGCCTGAAACAATCACACTAATATTATAAAGGCGGAAGTTTGTGAGTGTGTTTGTTTGTTACTTCTTCACGTCTAAACGGCTGGAGTAATTTTAATAAAATTTGTTATGGAGTTAGCTGATACCCTTGATTAACACATTGGTTACGTTTTACTGCGGGAACATATACCTAATAAACCGCGGTTAACACCGCGAGGAACAGCTAGTAAGTAATAAAGCTGAGAGATAGAGTACCAGTGAAACTATATCTACAATTTAATACTGTCAGAATCAACATACATACACAGAATATTCACAAAATCTGAATAAACTAAAGAAGTTTTCCATCCATTTCTCTATATATTTATTTGTATCGGGTTTTTTGTGTCTTCATTTAATTAAAAGTCGTATTGTGGCATAAAATCACTTATTATTTTTTATTTCATTTCTCTCTTTAATAATAGAAACTGAAAGAAACAGAATAAAAAACAACAACGAATGTTACTTCCTATTCACGTAGATAAGGCTGAATGGTTTGTTTACGTTCGCTTTTCCTGTTACTGGCACAGTAAACAAACATGGCGAAATGTCAAACTCAAAAATCAGTTGTCAACTGCACGCAGTCCAGCGTTGTAGTGTCGCGTGCCGGTCGAATGAACTATGGTTAAATTCCCGGTGAGAAAATGCTATCACGCGGCAAAGATATCTGTATTGTTAGTGTTAGTTTTATTTTTATTGGCACTATTCGAGAAATGGAAGGGCGGCAAACGAAACGCTCGGGCAGAATACACCGACCCCCTTGAGGTTGTTTACGAGAGAGAAATTACGGAAGACGAAGCTCGCATTATACCAGGACTTGGTGAAGGAGGTGTAGCCGCTCACCTGATGGGCGATGATAAGATACTAGGCGAAGAATCTGAGAAGAAACTCGCCATCAACGTTTATTTGAGTGATCGAATCGCCTACAACCGATCCTTGAAAGGTATGTACCATTCGCGTTCATCTCACGTACTTTTTCCTACTTTTAAGGTCTTCGTTTCCTCATGATTGCCGTTAGAAGTATATTAATTACGAACAGTGAATATAAATTCGGCGATAGGAGTGTTCATAAACTGTTGTATTTAATATTTTTTTATTAATTTCAATCAAGCCATATCAGCTTTATGATTTGAATTTTATTGAAAGAGAGAGTTTATGAAACTTTTATTGTATACACATCTATGACATTTTGAAATGTAGCAGGCAAATAGCAAGTATCCATATGTTTTTTTTTATTGTGATATCTTTGTTATTATTTTGTTACATTATTCATTTAAAACATTATTCAACAAAGATTAATAAAGTATTTAATCCAAAATGTGCCAAATTTCAGCCCAATGCATTTAGTTACCCATCCAATGACCGACTACTGTGAGTTGCTTATCTAGAAAACGATTGCAGCCAAATGCACTAACCACTTGCTCGAGCTCCTCAATGTTTTCTTTAAATTAGCGATAATTCTTTAATAGTATATTAACATTAATGAAGAAATTTACTCTTATTGACAGTCTTTTAGTTTGTGTTAACAAATTAATCAGATTTAGTCTTTTTGCCACATCTCATCTGATTCTTTTACACTGTACTCGTGAAATCTTGCATGTTGATGATGATTATTTTTACATAACATAATAAATATTTGCATTATTTATCATTTAAAATTCATTTGAAAATAATATGATTCTGTCATTTCGATAAATTACTTACATGGAGCATGGATACTGTGTGTCGGCTACATTGTCACATGCAGTGCAACCTGAGGAAACATTCGTAAGTTTGTAAATATGTGAAAACTTTTGGTTTGGTCTAAAAGTACTTAAACATTTAAGTACTGTTACTGTGTGAGTGTTTGTTGATAAAACCTCTTTAGCATGCTGCTAGTAGTAGGTATTTCAAATTACAAAAAAGTCTTAATGTTTTTAGTTTCCTAGGTTACTAACATAAACAAACATCTTGTGATTAGTTAACTTATATTACAAATATACCATTATAGTTATTTAATGGTATAAATCCACTGATATTTCTAATATTATTAGGTGTGTTGATTTTGTAAGTTCTTAAATAAAGCTGTCAACATCCGCTGCTTAAATGTACTTTTCTGAGTTATTACACAACTAGCTGTGCCCCGCGGTGTTACCCACGTGTTATTAGGGATATTTTCCTGCAGTGAAACGTAGCCTATGTGTTAATCCAGGGTGTCAACTAACTCCATACCAAATTTTATTAAAATCGCTCCAGCTGTTTAGACGTGAAAAAGCAACAAACATACACACTCACAAACTTTCGCCTTTATAATACATATTAGTGTGATGAGAAATCTTGAACCCACTTCTCATGACATTGAAGCTTGGTACATCGTACATATAAAACAGTGGTTGGGATAAAGCACGGTGTGGGAATTAACTGGTGAATAGTGTTGCCAGGTGTGCCGATTTGCGCGGGACGTCCCGATTTGTACCTGATCGGGACACAAAATGTCCCGATTAATCAAAAAATTTAATTTAGTTAATAAAATACTATACATGCACTAGTAGTTTGAAACGCAATAAATTAAACTCAGAGTTAAAAACCCCTGGTATTTGTTTACTGTCCCGATCTGCAACCCTAAATCCTGATTTTTTTGAGCTCATGTACCGATTAAAAACGAATCGGACCTGGCAACACTACTGGTGAATAATGGCCAGTGATAAAATCAAAGAAGGAAAAAAGTTCAATACATTTTCTTTCGAGACACAAAAAACTTGTAGACATCCTATACATGACATCCATTTATGTGTCATCATGAACTTATGACTACATTACTTTTTAACTGTTGGTAAATTTAAAATTTATAAATTGGTCTACTTAACAAAGGCAGCATTTATATGTATAAGTTTATTATACTTTATTATGTGCATTTCCATATATCACTTATTTATTTATTATTAGGGCATTCAGAAATATATTCAGTATTTACAACCTTTCAAGTGATTACTACCAAAAATGCTGAACCATCATTGAGCTCAACCTGGCCTTTTATAGGTTAAATAGTAAATTGTTTATTGACAATTCTTTTTGTCTTTTTTATTTACTTTAGATGGTTTTGGTCTTCAGTATAGGCCTCCTCTAATGCCTTTCAAATTGTCCTACATTTTGCTTTTCTTGTCCAAGGACTTTCTCCTACTCTTTTTATCTTTGAATTATCTCCCTCTTCTTCTTTCCATACTATTATTATAAATGCGAAAGTTTGTCTGTTACCTTTTCACGTTTAAACTCCTGAACCGATTTAGATGAAATTTTGTATAGAGATATTTTGCGTTCCGGGAAAGGACATAGGTTAGTTTTTATCCCAGAAATCATCTTAAAGGAGTAGAAGTTAGTATGGGAAACGCAGAAGAAGTCAACCACCCACCAGTAGGTATATGAAAAATGTGTTTTTTATCCAGATTTTCGCAATCCGGCATGTCAACGGGTAGTATACGACGCGGAGCTGCCGTCCGCTTCTGTAGTGCTGATATTCCACAATGAACCTTATTCCGTGGTCATAAGGACCATATGGAGTGTTGTGAACTCCGCCCGTCGTGACCAACCCTGGTACAAACAGGCCAACTTCGTTGATCGGGAGACTGGGCGTACTATGAACCTGGGTAAGGATTTGTCGTCATAAAACTGGTGCAACATGTATCTCTGTCGCGCCTTCGCATTTAGAAAGAGATAAAACATGGCTTAGGGGAATCCACCAAATTGTTGGCACTTTTGAGTTTAGTTAGAAAAAACAAGGAAACAGAAAGGTATTAATAAAAAGGAAAATCCTAGTTTTATTTAGAATTTGAAAATTGGCAGCAATGTTCGGATAACCAATTTGGAGCATTAAAATTTTTAAAGTATACTCAAAAGTGCCAATAATAGGCTAGTTGACCCTTTTTGGAAAAAGGTTTTAAATGGTTAATTAATGTTCTATTAGACCGAAAAAAAATGTATTGTATTTTTTTTAAACCTAGAAAGCTACAAATCTTTAATTTTAAAATAGACTTTTCATGGACATACAAAAACGCTGTCGGCCATTTTAGTCTATAGATTATCTATGCTATGACGTGAACTGTCGTAAACAAAAACTCGTAAACACGTAGAAAATTACTTTTAACTGAGTTTATAATAAACAAAAACATGATTTCTAATAAATACCACGAAAAATAAAGTAATTATCATTACTGTATTGTACGAGAATATAAAAACACATCCTTGAAGACTCCAGGAAAGTTGTCGATTAAAGTGCCGAAAGAAATTAACCTACGCAACTTTATTACACTTATTCATATGTTGTATCAGTTTTATGTTTATTACTACATTGTAATACTAAATGCACTGTACTTACATAGATGCCTTGTCGTTTCTCTGCTCCGCAGAGCAGAAATCGGGGTTTAGTGCAACAAATTCACCAACCATCAATGCGTCAATTCTTGGCAGATTTGTGCTTTCTGCTTTCACAAAGCCGGCATCCATAATTAGTTTTGTCAAAAAAAAACTAAGTTTACTGTTTTTTTCTTTCCTAAAGTTAAAAGTGTTTTATGATAAATTTAGTCAGACGAAAGAATCCACCTACAGTAACACGCGAATGACATTTAGTTGTTTACCAGAAGAGACGTCAAAATCATGGCGGATGTGGCGAACAGCGTTTTTAGTGTTTAAAAAATATAGACTAAAAAATATTTTTTAAAATTAAATTTCTACAGCAATCTTCTGCTTTTATGAAGTGAAATCGATATATTAAGGTTCCTTAGACTAAATACTTTAAGAAATAAACATTTATTTAATACAATTTGACATGAGTAAACTAGCCTATTGTAAGAGTACCAATGATTGGGTGGTTTTGATAATAAATGCCAAAGTCTCTTCTTCATATGGCTATAGGCGTGATATATCGAGTTGGCTGGTGCGGAACGGGTGCGGCATCTATCTTTGTCGCACCTTCGCATTTAAATAGGGATAAAAGAAAAAAATTGTAAATAATAGCTATGGCTTCTTGCATCAATGTTTGCCACGACATAATTGCTCTGTGGACATCGCAAGGGGTAAATATAGTACATAAAAAAAATATACACTGCTAGTAAAATTAGTTGAATTTTAGTGGTTGTCCGAAGCTTTTAACCCTAGATTACTAGGGCTCAACCCTAGGTTGAGTTGCCAGCTCAAGTATTGCCAACAAAATCTTTTGATACTATACTATACTGCTTCTGAAAAACTGAATCTGTTGGGAGATTGTCTATAATTCGCATAGCCATCGCGCGTTCTGTAATGACTTAAAATAATATGACTACTCCCTACCTGATGTTAAGTGACGGCGGAGTCCAGAGCCGAAGATAGCTGGTGCAGCACTTGCCACACTAGCCTTCCTTCAGGTTCAACGGTGAATCATCAATCCACATATTCTTCCTATAGGTTACCCTGGCCAAGACCCGTCGTCTCCCTTCGTATACCTCAAGGAGATCATACTCGTAGATGATAATTCTACATTGCCGGAGTTGAAAGGCAAGCTCAGTCACTACGTACGCACTCGTCTGCCTCCCGACCTAATCCGGATTCTTCGGCTGCCTGATCGGTGAGACGTAGATTTAAAACGTTTAGAATAAGTCCACCACAACATACATTAAACCTTCGTGAATCTAAAGACCAACTAAAGGAAACGAGAGGTCTTCAAAAGGGACCAATACATTACACTTTTCTTGCGTACATAAGCTTATTAATCCAGAGAGAGGTTGCAAAATGCGCGAAATGTGTAGGAAGTTAATAAAAGTTGCAATGTGGTCAGTAACTTATCACTCTTGTGAACCAAACTTCTATGTCATAGAAAGAAAACGAAACAGCAAATGCCGAACGTAAATGCTGCTTCGATGAGAGTAACATAGGTTTAGCTAATTACTACGTTACTGTACGTTTTGTTGAAAGTCCCATACGTATATTATGAATAGGTTAAAAAGGCTAGCAAATATAGTCATACCCTCTCAAATCTGTCTTTATTTTTTGGTTTATTAGATCGTAGACACTATTATCAGTTGCTTAATGCTTATTTGCCATTCAGTAAATGAAGAAATATATAAGAATTTGTAGCGGCGGATATAATTTCGTTCATTTTTAACGGTCGTTTCCTAAATGTTACTTTGACAACATAAGTTATCTCCCAAGTTAAAGAATTTGAGGAGCTATTTTGAGAGCTTAAAGAAATTTGCAATGAACATGTTGGCAAGTCGATTGGTGTACAAACAAGTTTTACTAGGATTAAAGAATCCCAACACAAGAACAATCGAAATAAGTAGAAAAATCCTGTTAATCGACTGCCTGATCTTAGGATAGGCCTCACTCAAGCGAGGATGGTCGGAAGCCGTGCAGCTACTGGGGATGTCCTAATATTCTTAGATGCCCACTGCGAAGGAAACATAGATTGGATCCGACCGCTACTCCAGAGGATCAAAGATAACAGGAGCGCTGTTCTAACACCAATAATCGATATGTTGGAATCGGCAAACCTGGAATACAACCCAGGTGGAAGCATTATTAAATTCGAGGTTGAATCCCTGTTATATTTTCTGAAATTGTCGGGTATTCTTTGTGTTTAGCGGTAGGCGTACGAGTAGACCTATATTTGGGTAAGATTCTCATTTAATTGGGTAAATGTACTTATGTGTCATACTAAAGATGTAGAATATTGTAAATATCATTTTCAGTGTGCTTAACAATATCATTCGCCATTTATGTATGATTTAGAATTGCTCAATATGGTAATCATTTTGGATCACCCATCAAACTTAGCTTTGTTTTTGCGACTTTAAAATTTTGGTATGGATCTATAAACTTGCCAGCATTGTCATTCTATGTAGAGTACGATAAGGATTAATACTGTCATAGTTTTAGTTTTAGATGAGGCCTAGTTCTGTCATGATTCTTTAGATCTAAAAATTTTGATAACAGTATGTCCTTTATCATGCACTACAGAGCATGAGACGAAAATACTGCTTTTAAATTGAGTTTTAACTTTAGGAATTCAAGCCAAAATTAAGCCCAGAGTCTCGTTAAAACTAGGAATTTACGACTGATTTGAGAGTGGTAGAACACATTAAGGAAGGTATCATTTTTTGGCGTCTGTTCGAAACGTAAATGCTGAAGCTTTATCGTTCTGAGAAGCGTGATAGGTGAGCGAGTTTGTCTTTATTTCGACTCTTGAAGGCAGCTTTTCTCCAGTGTTGGGCTGACACGGGCGAGGCTCGCGGGCGCCCGGTACGCCGTCGGAGATGTCTTGGTGTTCTTGGACTCGCATTGTGAAGGCCAACCCGATTGGCTTAGACCAGTACTACAGAGGGTGAAAGATGCTCCGCACGCAGTAGTGGTGCCGATCATTGATGTCATCGACGCCTCAACATTCTACTACAGCGTCCAAGACCCAGTTACTTTTCAGGTGCTGAAATAGGCGGTGATGTCAGGGCTTGTAGATTGAAAAATGGACAAACTTGAGCGTTCTTTGGTTGATCGCAATAGTATTTCGTGGCTCTGTAATCTGTATCTATAAAGTGTTTTGGGAGTATTCGAAAACTATGATTGTCTCGATCTTTCCAAGTATTTCAGAGTAGTTCTCATGCTTATTTGAAAATTGAAATGTTACTTGACTGAACTGCCATTTTGTTGATGCGCCGTGCCGGCGTTGTAGTTTCTGTTTAAGGACACAACACTAGACAATTGTAATTTTTAAAATCTATAAATATACCTACCTGTTAAGTCATTGCACTGTCTTTCCATTTGAAAACAATCAGCATCTCTCACCTTTCTTACAAAGGGAACAAAGCTTCCTTGTAACGAAAGATATGGTGTAAGTTATTTACAATTGGCAAAGCGTTTCAATGAAGCTGAAAGTAGCCAACATTGAAGCAGACACATCCAGCAGAGGGACCGTCATAAAACAGACGGTAAATGCATTCCTGGCAACTGTTTTGGTTTTTCTTATTACTTTAAAAGAAGAAGAAAATAGCGTAAGTTACCCTCGTAAAAACAGCTTGATAACTTTTCGTTACTTTTAAATAAATAAGTTAAACCAATGCAGTTGCCAGAAATACGTTTACCGTCTTTTATTTTTGAGTGTGTATGCTGTTGGTCGCAGATGACCTTGACAACGTCACCGGGTTTGCAGACGGCGAGATCCTAAGGGGACCTCAAGCCGAGAATTGGCGAGTGTCTCTAGAGGTATTCCAGGCGGATCGCATCTTCCTACGAGGGGAGTCTCCTCTCCGTCTGGAGTCTCTAGACCACTCAAACCTGACGGGACGTTTGCCGTCTGTTTTGTGATGTAACTGCTTCAATATCTGCTAGTTTCAGCTTCACAGCGTTTCTGATATCGTATATTTTAAGAGTCTTAATGAAATTACAATTGAAAGTATAAGTCACAACCCCTTAGAACTGCTCAGGTTCGTTCATTTACCCCACCAATTTGTGTAGAATGTTGAAACATGAGAAATCAACTTCATTTCTTATGCTCTTGACATTTTTCACGAATTGATAATGTTTCAAGATGTTAGTGTACGGTGCACGCGGTTTTATTGTCTGAGAAGTTGCAAATATTGTTTGTTGTTCAGTGTAGCCACTCTCACTTGTGTTATTATTTGTTTCACTTGTTTATTGTTTAATATCACTCACTCATTCGGGTATTATGGTCTAGTGACTAATTGTATGTATATGTTGTAGCATTCTTTTCATCTGAATATCAAGTGGTGTTTGTATAGTGGAGGAAGCGGCTAGTTTGCCGTTTTGGTTGATTATCGCTTGTACTTGATCTCGTTATTGGGGACAGAACTGTATATAACTTTTGAGATTGAGTACAAACTATTCTCGCCTCTAAGCACTCTACCACCATTTGTTAGACTGTATTTTAATTCCTTATGTGTTTCTTGTCTCACAGTTTTCCGCGTGACGGGCATTTTTTTTTTGTTTTATAAATTATCACAGTAGTTAAGCTATATTTTTCTGTTCATATTTTTCTCGCTCGGTGTATTACGTGTTGTTGTAAATGTTTTGTGTGTTTTGTTCCTAATCACCCGTGTGTATTTGTTTATTGTATGTTTATATGTAAATGTGTGCCTAAGCTATGGTTTTCCTTGTGCTAACTATGTCACCATTAGCTTCATTTTGAAGTTACTATCGTTGGTTACTACAATGAAAACGCAACGTTTGAATAAAATGCTTTAGTCCTTTCGCGAGGCATTTACCCCAAAGGGCTGTCGGAACAAAAGAACGTCTAGACGTGTTCTGTTAAGGGCAATTCAATGTATGTAAACCAATAACCTGTTAGACTATTTTCCGTTGACAAATGAAAATCGCCTTTATTGTAGAGTAACTAAAGTTCATAATTGCAAGCAAATTTATCATAAACAACATTTATGCATTAGATTCTATTCCGTTTGGGCAATGAAAAGTATAAATTGGCTGTTAAGAATACTAGATTTTAGTCTATTTTGTATTTAAATGCAGATTATTATGTATTTATTTCTCATGAAATTTATCACGAATAGTTACACAGTACACTTAAATTCGTGACCCGGGCCTGGGACAGCCAAACAAATTGCAATTCCATCTCCTTAAATTTTAAAAAGTTACCATGGTTGCAGTGCTGCGTGAACTGGATTAACCTTTTTAAATGAAAATGTTGGTGCCAGTGCCTCCAAAAATTCCGACATTATCAAATTTTATCCATATATTTCTCGATCTGCCCTCGTAGCATGAACACCATAATTCACATTATATCACGTTTTTTATCGTGTCTTACTGTCCAACTCTATAGTCATTTGACATTTTAGCCTGATAAAAACGCGTTATACATATATCATATCGCGTTGCTCATGCCAGAGGGGCTGGTCATCTTAGCCCGGGCTGATAACTTGATATTTCTCAATTTTACTGCGAGGAAGTAAAGAATTGTCTACGACCCCTACTCAGCGTATAATATCGCGCTAATCCTCCAAATAGCAGCAGTCTATAGGATCATTTCCTGCATTAAATAAGGTTTTCAGAGATCCACGGAATCGGGGATATGCTCAAGCAAGGCAATGCGTCTTTTAATTACCGCCTACCTTTTAACGGGCCACGTACTTGTCAGAAATTTTTAACCGACTTCCGAGAACGGAAAAGTTTAACTTGACTGTTTATGACGACCTCCATGACCGAGTGGTTTATACGCCGAGTTTCATAGTGTCGCCGACTCGAGAGGTCCCGGGTTCAAATCCCGGTGGGGGCAGATGTTTGTGTGATGAATTCGAGCATTTGTACTCCCGTCATGTATGTTTAATATGTATTTCTATATAAAATATACTCATATATATGTACAATATATGTATTCTATCCGTTACCCTAGTATCCCATAACACAAGCCTTACAGTGCTTACTTTGGGGCTAGGCTGATTGGTGTGTTTAAAAAAAAAGGAGCTTCTCAATTCTTCGGAATCTTTTATTTTCGTTTCGTATCATCTTAGGCAAGGTTTGATACTGGCTCGGATGCGCGGAGCTCGTTCTGCCCGGGGTGATGTCCTGATATTCCTCGACGCTCACTGCGAGGTGGAAAGGGATTGGCTGAGACCGCTACTTCAGCGTATAAGACACAAACGGGACTCGGTGCTGACACCACTGATCGACGTCGTTGACCAGACGACGTTCCAGCTGGACGCGGCCGAGTACTTTCAGGTGGCTGACTTCTTGGAATGATAATTTTGTATAGAAGGAATGCTAAAATACAATAGCATCAAAACGCATGAGGCCGTTCTATCTACCTATCTCCTACGCGGGGGAGAAGGCAGGACAACTAACGAATTAGGAACTATATGGAATTCGAACTGCGCTAAAAAATGGTTCCACACAAACTGCGATCAAGTAGGCGGGGCGAAAAATATGCGATCAACACGATGATCATGGGCTTGGTTTGGATTTCATTGGCTTACCCAATGAATGGAAAGCCGAATTCATTTAAAGATATTTGATTTGTCAAAGTATTTTGTTTGGTCTGTGTGCGTGTCGCGTTAGTATTGAATTTAGTTAGTTTGAGTTTGGAACCATTTTTTAGTTGCCCTTTTTAGAGAGTGATGCTACCACATAATTTTGAATTCGTTGCGTTAAACCTGATAATGTTTTGGTATGGTATACATCATACATCAAGCTTAGACAATGATATTTAAAGCTCAATAGATCATTGTGAAAATTGTCAACGTTTAAAACAAACAGTTTCTCTTTCGAATGTCCAAACTTTATCAAAAAGTAACACCAATTTTGCAACTTTACAAAAAAACAGCGGAGATCAAGCAAAGATCTACTGCCTCACTCGCACGCGTTTGACTGCGTTTTAATTAGAACAGTGCCGATCTAGCTAAAAAGTTTTTAATTTGGCATTCCTTCTATATGAATTTTATGATTCTAAGGGTGGCATTCAGGAAACACGCGTGTGCATGACTATCGCTATACCACCGGCTCGATCTAACTGAATTAGATGGCTTTCAGGTAGAAACCTCATTTATGCTTGACCTTCGCCATTCTTCTGACAATCTATCGTGAAACATCTCTCGAGTTAAATTCGGAAAGAGAGAAAACTTGGATGTTCTCGCGTTTAAAATCTGTTAACGGATAAAGAGTTTCCGTTTTTTGGGAGTAATCTAATTCCAAAGTGGTTCACAGAGTAATATGTAGATATTCTCAAGTTTGTTATCTGTCAAAAAATATCGCGATAAGTTATGATGATGATAAAGATATCAATATGATATACCTATCACCTTTAATACAATTTTTCTTGTAAATAAATCCGAATCTAAATCAAGCATCGTTTTCTAAATTAAGAGATCTTTTGAGCCAAACAAATAATCTTGCTGTAACAATCGTTTTTTGATTGGAGAGATTTAGCCAAACTCATAGGGGACCGTTCAAGTATTACGTAAGCACTATAGGGGGGCAGGGGGGTCTTTGCGTTGCTTATTTTTGATGACTTGGGGGGGGGGGGGGGGGTCGAGATAGTGATTACGTCAGCATCATGGATTCGGGTGTCATGGACTGAAGATTGTATACATATACCAAAAATTCGAAAGAAGTTGGTTTTGTTCGTAATAGGACCTTACTCAATGTTGAATACTGTGTCAATAAAGTTTGTTTCAATGAATTTTATGTGCGATAAAGTCCTCTATCTTAAGCCTATTCAAGTACTGCTGCTAACGAAGCTCATGAAAGCTCATGAATGAATATAAAAAACAGAATACATTAAAGGAAAAATGCATAGGTACCAATGTTTACGTAAGCACGGGAGGGGGAGGTAAGAGCTTTGCTTACTTTTGCTGACAAGGGGGAGGAGGGGGTAAATAATTGTTATAAATCTTCTTACGTAATACTTGAACGGCCCCTAGGATACGACTCATCTTGCATATTGCTCTAACAAAATAA